GGTAATAACCAAATAAGTTTGTGGCGCTCTGTGCTGCAGGGAGTTGTGTGAAGAGTCTTCCTGAGAAGAAGGGTGAATTCTTCTTATGTTCCTCTCATTGGAGGGAATTTGGCACTTGAATACTAAGTTAATGAACTTGATATATATATATTAAAAAAAGAAAAATTAGCTTTGCCACATGTCTGAAGCACTGTCAGTGAGTGCTGGGGGAAGGGCAGACAGTTCTCTTTGAAAGGATAGCTGAAGTTTCCCTGTAATTATTTTTTTGTAGCCTAGCACTTGCTTGATTTCTCTGAGAAACTAAACTTTTCCAAATACTGTACTGTGAGGAGAACCTGATTATAGATTTGGAAGCTTTTGTGGTGGGAAGTACTTTCTGGTTTCTTTGTTTATAAAGACAAATCTGAGATAGTCTTTAAATAAAAGAAAAATTTAAAAAATGAAAAATATTAGAAAGCACTTGACACTCAAAACATTTGTACATGCCAAGCACAACTGTAGAATTCTAAAGATGTTACAGCAGAAAATAATTTCAGTTTTGCTAAATACTGTTTTAGATCATAATTGGTTTTGGTTAATGCCTGAAGTTTGGCAGAGGAAAGTACTGTGAAGACTCTGGTAGCACAGGGTTATTGATCTACACCTGTAGATCTGCATCTAACTAATTATTTGCTATCAAAGGGTTGCATAAAAGAACCACAGGAGTTCTAAACTGTTCCTGGTTGACACTTTTCAGTGTAGATACCTCATCTGTAGACACAATATGGCCCAACAGATACTAATGTATTCTGAACAGAATTACTTGGTCAGAGGTTTAGATCAATCTGGCTGCCTTTCTTCTGGAAAGCTGAAGTAATTTAGACTGTGACTTTCAGCTTAATGGAAGCTTCTTGTGTTTTTAAAGCATGAGGGTGAAGCACTTTGGCTTTTCATAAATTGGTAATGGAAGTGTGAGGGCTGTGAGCGTTTTTACAGTATAAAGTAACAGGATAAGCATGAGAATGTCTAAGTTAAGTGTTGGCTAATATGTAATATGTGTATGAAAAGCTAATTGATCTGAAAGATTGTAATCAGCTTAAATTCCAACTATTGAATTTTTGATAAAATTGGAAGCTAGCCATAGGGGACCTTCATTTGCTTTCTGATTACATTAGAGAAATTATGAATTTACCGTGGTCTGTGGTCAGAAAATACATTTATATAATAATGAAATTATAATGAAAGCAAAGTCATGTTCATGCTTCAGAAGTATGAACTTCGTGGCTGAACAGAATTCTTCAAGGGTATATCCACTCAGAAAAGGGGGGAGGAAATAAAGACTGATGTAGCCAGGAAAGCTATCTGCATATACTTCCCAGTTCAGGCTTTAATAATATCTGAATTCTGTGGGCTGCTAGACTAGGAATTACTGTTCACAACAACAAAAGGAATCCCTTTGCCTTTCAGCTCTTGTACTATGGCATGACTTTTGCTTCAACCTCCCTGATTTAACAGCTTGTAAGTGGAAGTGTTAGGTGCTACCACACTGGGGTGTGGTATATCAAAGGTATAATGACCGGTATGGACATGCCTCCTCTAGCAGTACTAAACCCAGATTATACAAATATATTCTGTTTGTATATCCAGTAGTGCTGCTGTAGAAGGTCTAGCCAGTACTTGTGTTGGGAATTGTACCTTCTGAAACTGAGGGTAATTGTCAAATTTAGGAATAAAAAGAAAGTCTTGCAAAGACTTCTTGATAGAAAGTGAGAAGAAATTGTACTGAGCTTGAGGATACTGACACTTTACACGAGGATTACCTTGTCAAGAGCTGGCAGTCTGGTTTTTTTCGGAGCATAAAAGGAAAAAAATATTGAAGATAGAATAATTTTTGATGTAGAACAAATCTTAGAAATTACTGCTTCTTGCATCCTTAGGAAACTGGCTGGTCTTCCTCCAAAACTAATAATCCTGATTGCTGGTCAGGTACAGAGCTGCAGAATGACAGTTCAAGTTAGATTCCACTGGATTTCTTTCATGGAATGATCCATCATTTTGCCCCTGTAGCACTTTTCCGGCACACAAAAGCCAACAGTTCAGCCAGGGTGTCTTGTTCAACAGTGCAGAACACTAACCATGGATTCTGATGTCTGTTCCCTTTCAGTCTCTACACTTCCTCCTGCATTCAGAGAAAGTGTCAGTGTTCATGATGTCAGCAGAGCATGTTTCTGTCTCTGAACCTTTTTATTGGGTTATAATACAGATAGATTCCCAAGACTTTACCCCATCTAAAGTTAAAGATAGAAAGTAACTTTCTGTTCAGTGTGTCCTATGTAAATCCTGTCTTCTCTCCACTTCCCCTCCAAATGAGTGTTTACAGGTCAGATAAAAGGCAGGTAGCTTGTAATGCCTTAGGCATGAAGAACTGCATGGAGAAACTGAAGGAAAGCGGCACAGGCCCACAAACCAAACTTTAGAGCTAGTATTCTAATTATGCATGATTCAAAATGTCTAGTGTAATGTAGTTACTACCAGTAAATTGAGATATGCATTTATACATAATGAAGCAATAGGAATTAATATACCAATAGCTTGAACTTCCTGCTTTGATTCTCAAATTTCGGGGTTTTTTTAGAGAATGTGCTGCCTCTGTAGAGAAGGGGGTAGATTGTATAGATAGGGACAGAAGCATGGCACCAAAACTGTAAATCAGGAGCCAGGATCAGCAGAACTCGCCTTTATAACCTCTTGTCTGGTTCATATCACTGTCCTGAGCATGTAAAAAGCAGGGCATGAACTAAGCATGTTTAGAGGCGAGATGAGATTTCTCACCTGCTGCAGCTGTAGCAAGGAAAAGGGTGCAGAGTTTCTTACGTGGTGCAGGGGGAGCGACCGGTGGGAAAGAAAAAACCGAACCCACAAAAAAAATCACCCTAAAATCCAAGCCAACAAACAAGTAACAGAAACCACAGACTCAAATTGAGTGTAGTATTTGCCAGACAGTAGGTAATAAGCTTGAATGTGGTAAGAGAAATTATTTGGAGAAGACTGACATTAATAAGCACAGTACATATTTTTCAGGTGTTGAATAGCTTTTTAATAGACAGTATTTTCAGGTAACTCTAGCCACACAGGCAGCTGTACTGAAGCATACTGGTACCAGCCAGCAATAATGGCATCCGCAGGAATGAACCTGAAAATACTGATAACCTTGTATATTTTTTAAGTTCTTCAAAGAGATTTTTAAAAAGAGATTTGATCACTGAAGGTCTTTATCTTCTGCAACAGAGATTGCAATTGTCTTTTTTTCTTTATTTCACTTATTAAATAAAAGGGAATTTGGGTGCCATTTTTCTGTAAACTCTTATTAGTGTGTTCTTTGTAATTCAAGTCTCTTAGTGGATAATGCAGTAAATTTCTGCTGGCAGTTTGAAAATAAGAGAATGTGTGGCATAGCCTACCTACATCACTAATACTTTTCCAAGCTTAAATTTGTAATTAAACATGTAGAATACTGGCTTGTTATTGCAGAATTCCATACTTGTAGTTTAGCTTAATTTTGTAAGTGGGCTTAACTTGTGCAGAACACTTCTCCATGTGCAAAGGCTCAGTCCTCTCTTAGTAGAAAGAAGTGTCTTGGAGGAAAAAATGGTGTGTCAAGTTAACTCCTGTTCATACTTCATAGCCAGCCATTCATAAAGCACTGTGTTTTGGGTTTAGAGTGGGAATTGTGGTTTTACGCAGGAATGCTCTTTTTAGATGTGTAAGGATTGCCAAATGAAGATAGGAATATTATAAAAGAAGGTAACTATTCCATGGTATCACAAGTTAGACTGAATGAAAGTCTTGGAGCCAACTTCAAGAAAATTTCAAAAATAAATTTAGCCCAGTGGTTTACCATGGTCATTTTTAATTCTTTAGAATACTATGCATGGTTTGAAAGTCTGTTAAATATTTTTTTTTTTGGGTAATGAGTAAGCCATTGTATCCTTTGTATTTCCCTTCAGTATAACCTGGGGAATAAGCTACTTCAGAATGTCAGTGAAGTTATCTTCCTTTTGAAAAATGTAACAGCAAAGGAGAAGCATCAGGTATAAATTCCTAAAAATTACCTTATTACTTAATAGGCTGAAGAATACTTATACTGATAGCATTCTTGCATGGATTAGTGGAGGAAATTATTGGTGTGACTATGAACTACATATTCCCATTGCACATGTTTTACATGGTAACAGTGAAAGAATGTCTCCCTGCAAATTCTGGTGTTTTCCCAAAAGGCAGCTTGCTTTTATATCTATGCATCTTTGAGGATTTCAAGATAAGATTTTATTCTTTTGACACTGTAAAGAGGAACTGTTTAAAAATGAACCTGGAAACTCTGCACCTGTATACAAATTTTTTTAGCAATAAAGCAGCACAGGCTGAGAATGCACTAAAACTGGATGTGTCATCTGTTCAGAAGACAACCAAATTACAGTACATTCCACTTCACTTCTGAGGTGTACTTGCTGTAGCTTTGTCAAACTTTAACAACTCAAGCTGAATTCATATGTGCTGGATATCTGCTTTGGGGCCAGCTGTCCCAGTAGACTTCAGGCACAAGAGCTTCTGCCTTAGGCAACAGCTAAACAAAAATTGTTATTCCACTCATTCTAAGATGCATAACTTATCAGTTAAGAGCTTCAAGGGTTTAGAGGGTAGCAGAAACCCTCTGTTTCTTGTATTGATTGCCTCAAAATAACAAGGCCCCTCAGAAAACTGTTTTATGTATGTATGTATGTATTGTTTATTGCTTTGGTGACTACACTTCTGAAAAATTTCTTCTGTGGTTGAAGGAGGTCCTCCCAGTTTCAAGGATTACAGAAAAGCAGTTTAAAAATTTACCAGCTATTCTTCAGCACATACTCATTATTTATTTAAATTCACACTAAGTAATATAATTTGAGGAACCATTACTTGAATGCTTCATAAGAAATGAGGACCCAAGCAAGATAAAGTGATGTTTTTATTTCTGCAAAATTAATCAAAGGAAAAGTAGGCCTAGGACTCACATAATGGCAATGACTTGCACAACATGAATTTCTGAATTCCAGCTTTTATTTAAGAAGTTTCTTCTTCACAACTTTAAATATAACATAAAAATGTAACTGAAATGTAACTTCATTTTCTTTTAGGGCTCAACACTAGTGAAGCAAAACAATTTAGCATAATTCATAGTATAGACGTAAAATAGCAAGAAACAGTCTCAATGCAGAAACTGGAATGAAAGGGCAAAAGCAAATACTCCCATTATCAATCACATTTCTTAGACTCATGCAACAATACAAGCACTAAGGAAGTACTTCAAAGGTGGTATTTGTGAGAGTCCCTCCTCTCCTTACAGAATAGCTGTTGGTGCTTTTGCTTACCACAATGAACTGAGACCATACAGAACTCCCAAAAGAAAGCAACACAGTGAGCATTAGTAGTAGCCTAAGTACCAGCTTCCCACCTAAAACCTCTGAGGTGCTTTACAGTGAGTTTTGTCCCCTCTGCTCCAAGCCCATTATGAGTTATTTTACAAATAAGACAAAACACAGAACTGGCAGCAGTAGCAATGAGGTCTACAACCTTCCAGTCATAAATATGGAAGGAGAAGGCAATTTGAATCACTGGAATTAAGCTGATCAAGTAAATAGAATCCTCTCTAGACCACTACAGACAACTACTAAACTTTACATAGAATTCATTATTCCTTTAGGGAAAAACATTAGCCCTTTAAGGAGCAAAGGGAGAAGAAAAGGGCCCTTAATCTTCCAACAAAGAACTAGGGAAATTCTGTCCCAGTAAATAGTACTTTTTTTTCTGTAAAATTATTTTCTAAATGTTTGGAAATATGCATAACCAATATTCAACAGAGAAATGCCAATGAGCCAGGAGTAGGTATTTTTTATAAAACATCTTAACTGGCCAATTGAAGGCGACAGGCAAATCATAACTTCGGAAAGCAGTGCTTCCACGATTGTGCAGAAGACCATTCCTTGGTTTCATAGTTGACATTCCAGAAAGAAATGCTCAAATCTGTTCAAGGAAGTTGTTCGTGCTGTTAGCTGGCAGAATTTGCCTCAGTCCTGTTCCTGGGGCTGCACTTCAGCAGACTTGGCAGGCACATGGGTTGCCCTTTACCTGAAATCTAAAACCTTATGTTCTGCCTGCATGGTGCCATCCAGACTCATGCACTAAGAACACTGCAGCATCTGTGACGTGCTTGTCTGCTGCTTCTGCAGGCAACACACACAAGGAAATCTCAAAACTATTCAGGAGTCCATTTAGCAGTGGCTCAAGTATCAGATGTAGCTAATGAGCCACTTGACCAAAAACTAGCTGCCATTAAAACCAAGGCTGCCATTAACACTCTCTGTACTGAAAGGTAGGACAAGAGCTTTAGGTCTCTAAGAATGTTGTCTTTAATGGTGGCTCTTGAATATCATCACCTTGTTAAATGTGTTTTGCATAGTTCCAGAAACCTGATGTCAGTATTTCAAAGGCTGGTTTCCCCCCTAAGTCATTAGAAAAAGCAAAGTCACAGTTACACAGCCTCAGAGAGTGATGTGCTGCATGGCTGAGCTATGCAGTCTTCTAAGCATAACTTCGGTATGTCAGATTTTCAGGTGTTCCCCTGAAGTAATGCACTTCATCATCAGTTCTTTCCACACACACAGATAAAGTGACAGATCAACACTCAAACCTGGTCTGGTGCATTATTTCTTCATAATGACCAAACTCAGCAGAGATGCAGAAACAACTCCAGCAGTTCTTGAAAACAGGTATTAGTTAGTATTAACTCTTGCATATCCTGATAGTAGGTCACCTGGATCTGATGAAGGGTTGTAATTATTTTGTTACAGTTTCTCCAGCTTCCTTATCACTAATTCTATGCGGCAATTGAAGTCCACAAGCTTTTCTTTCACCTAGAAAAATTAAGAGTATTGAAATTGGCAAAGAATGTCCTAATACTGGATCTTTGAATGACCTTCACCCCACTATAAATGGCTAAAGAGCGGCTCACTTTCAAGAAGGGAAAATATAGAGGGCTTGATCTCTATACTGCATGTTTAGTACTGACAAAACCAGCACCCAGATCAGAGGGCTGCATTACAAACTGGAGATGGATGTGTGCCAGTATCAGCCCTTCCAGGGACATAATGGAAATAACTACTTCAGGAGACAGAGTTGCTGCAGTTTTACTATGATGAGTCTGATCTTTCCTCGTTAACTCAAGTTTTAACACAGCCAGAAACCTTTGACAATATGTGGACAAACTGTTTCATCATTAGCTTAGGAATACATGTGGACATTATGTCTCAAAAAGCAAAGGCCAGATGCTTGAGCTTGTTGTAGTCAACAAGCAGAATCTCTTCAGTCACATAATTTATGTCTGCAATGAAGTGTTATCATATTTTTACTTCCACTGTGTATTTTTACCAAATCATGTCTCCAGAAGGTTTACCTGGATAAGATTTTTGCATCTGAGCCTCACTTGACACATAAAAACATTCTTATAGAAACTGGAAGATGACTTGGAAGAGAACAAAATTAAGAGCTGTCCAAGGCCCATTACAAGAAAAGCTAAAATCGAAACTCAACCCCCCAAAAAAAGTAAGGAACAAATAATCACATAAATACTGGATATGCTGGCTGTCTCCTAAATACAGTAACTTTATTTGAGCTAAGGCACAGGCAATTAACTAACATAACAACTAGTCAGGTTACAGATAAGAACGTCCAATTTGAACACCAAAACAGGAGGGAGATCCTAAAGTTGTCTCTGAAACTACAAATACTGCCATGCAATTTTGAGCTTACACAGACATAAAAGTATAACTTTAAAAATCCCTTTCAAATAAAAAAATAGCTATTTTTAAATTCTTAACAATGACAACACAAGTCAATACTTAGGCCAAGTCTGTAGAAATGATTTGATTTTTTTTTCTTTGCAAGGTACAGAGATAAAAGGATAACAAAGTTTTGCCATAATTTATCTAGAACTGGGTACGTTCTGCAGTTAAGGGGTCTTGGAAAATGTGCCACATCTCATGCATTGAGTCAATTATTGTCATATAAGGCAGCACTTTCTCAATCTTAGGCACTTAAAAACCCTACATTTGTATCAATGTTTTTGAATTAATGTCTAAAATAATCAGCATTTCAAAAGTATTTTCCATTATTGTGGAAATCTTACCTTATGCATGTGTTCCTTTAAGGTCACAGCTGGAAACTTCACCTTAGAAGCTTCTATAATCATTTGGTTCTGTAAGAGGTAACTGGAAAACAAAAAGGGGAAGGAAAAAAGACCGCAAGAAAAACACTTAAATTTATAGTTGTATTATTTAGACAGATGATTTAAGATGATACTAAAGGAAATACAAGGTTGTTGCCAAAAGTAATAATTATGAAAATATTCAAAGTATAACAATGGTTTTACTTTGGAATTAAGATCCAACCTCTCAACACCAGCTGTAATTTACAGCTTCTATAGTCAAGTCCTCAACCTATCATTGAATCACTTTTAAATGAATCTGGGACTGAAGATATTTTGGTGTTGCACACAACTAAACTTAAAGTCTTACATTACAAGAGGACACCCAAGAGGTGCAAGGCAAATCAAAGGGATTCACTTCGACCCAATTTAGACATCAGGGATATTAAAATCCCACACTGATGTGCTCAGACAAGTCAAATCACTTTTGTCAGCTGTAGGCTACTTGTACAGTAATTAACTGTGAAGTCACTGACCATAAGAATACAGTGTACTCACCAGATGATGCTGTCCTTGAAGAAACAGAACAAGCCTCGGAGATATGCCAGGCTACTGTCACAAGAATAAAGAATGAAGCCCACGGCCAAGCCACATGACCGACAGGTTAATAAATAATAAGTACTAAAAGAAGAAAGGGAAAAGTGTTCTTAAACAGAAGCTTTTGAAACCACAGATGCTGCATATTTATCAGAGGGCATCAAATCTTCAGTTCTATTGGGACATAATCCAAGGCATATTAATGGTTCCTCCTCAAAATAAAAGATGTACAGAAACAACATGATCATAAGAAATTGGGCATGTTGTGAAAGAAGTAATCTCTCTAATAAGTGAAGTGCTATTAAGGAAGAAAATGCGCATCTTATTATCACAGAGTGGTTTAGACTATTCTGCTCAAACATGATTTAAGTGTACAATGCAAGTGCCAGGTGAAAATTCTTTCTAATAAAACAGATTATTGTCCCATGCAGAGAGAGGGGCAAGGAAAAAAGTAAAAAAAACCCCAAGCTTTATATTGAAAAAGTTCCCAGTCCTGACAATTTGTAAAACAGCATTTAAACAAGCTACTGTTTCTCTAAGCCCCCAGATGACATTTTACATTCTTCCCATTGGACTCAGTTACCAAACCTCGCTAACTGTAGGTTCAGGAACAGGGCAGCACAAATTTTTTAGTTTCAGTATTAAGAAAAACCAACCAACTAAAATCCAACCCTCCCCCAAAATCCAAACCAAGGCAACCAAAAATCCACCAAACCAAACAAAATCCAGAGATGCTTTAAATAAGATAACTTTCGGAGAGAGAAGAGACCTACAAGTTAAGTTGGCTTCTACTGCACTGCCCGAATGTTTCTCCCTACCTACATAGCCTGGGGCAGCAAAACTTCTGATTTCAAGTGAAAACTACATCCCTACAAAAGCTTTCTCCATCCGAAGCGTGAATAGGCACAGAAGTCAGCCGGGAGTTTGCCAAGCCCCTCGGAACCCCCCGCGCACAAGCCGGAGGAGCTCCCGGCCTTGCCGGAGCCCGGCTTTGTCCGCACGATTTACCGCGGCGGCCGCTCACGGCAGGCCCGATGCCAGCAGCTACGGGAGTACACACCATTCCAGGAGGGCTCCCTCGAGGCCGACCAACAGCGAGTCCTCCCAGGTCACATCGCTGGTGACCTCTGAGGAGAAAGAGAGAGAGAGACGCGCTGCAGCCGAGAGCCCCCGGACCAACCCCGGCCCGGCCGCCGTTGCCCGCCCCGAGGCCCGCGCGGGACAGCGGCGTGGCCTCAGCACCCGCCGGCCCGACGAGGCACTGACTGAAGCAGATGACGACGCTGAGTCCCGGCGGCTCCTGCGCGCACAGCTGCAGCGAGTCCCCCAGCACCGTCCAGCAGCTGCGGCAGTGGAACACGGCGCACTCCTCCGGCAGAGGACCCTGCTGCCGCGGCGGCGACGCCGGCACCGCAGCCGGCGGGAAGGAAGACGAAGGCGGCGGGGGTGACGGCGGCGGCAGCGGTGACGGCGGTGGCGGTGACGGCGGCGTCGGCGATTTCCAGGCGGGAGCGGCGGGGGCGGCGGAAGCGGACGCCTGCTCCACCACGATGGTCCCGACAACCCGCGGGTCCTGGAATATCTGCTGCAGCTGCCGCCGCACCGCCATCTCCTGCCGCCGAACGTTCGTGCGCGGGGCCCGCCCTCCGAGCCTCGTGATTGGAGCGCGGTACGCACATCTGCGTTGCCATTGGTCAGTGGATGCGTCAATCCTCGCCGCCCGCGACTATTGGGCAAATGTCCGCACCGCGCGCGCTTTTCCCTGACGGGAACGCCTCATCGCGCTTGAAAATAAGCACGCGAGGCGCGCCACGCCGCCATTGGCGGCTCCCGCGCCCCGCACCCCTTAGGACACGCCCCTTCCTATGCTCAGCCAATGGGCTGGCGCGGCGGGCCAGTTCGAACGGCGGGGGCGGCGCGAGCGGTGTCGGTTAGCGCGCGGCGGACAGGGCCCGTCGGAGCTGCTGTCATGGCGCTCGCTTCGCTGCAGCCCCTGGAGGCGTTGAAATACGCCGAGCTCCAGCGCATCGCCAAGGCCGCTGGGCTGAGAGCCAACCTTCGGGTGAGGTGGGGGCGGCTGCGAGGGAGCGCTGCCTACGAAGCTCCGGGTTCTGGGGTGTCCCCGTGCCGGCCGTGAGCCGAGGGAGGGCGTCTCCATCCTCCTGGGGCGCTCCCTCCTGGGCCTCGCTTGGGGCTGGGGTGCCCCGGGGGCTGTACTGCCGTCCGCGGTGCGGGCAAGTGCTCAGGGAGGGGGAGAGCGGGGCTCCGGTGTTCCCCGGACATCGAGAAGGGGAGGCGGCCCGTTCCTCTGCCGGCCCTGCTGTTCCCCCAGGCCGGTGTCCCCGCGCTGTTTGCCCCCAGTGAAACCCCAGCTGTGGCTGTTTGATTGGCTTGGCTTTTTGTTTGTTTGGGATTTTTTACGGCTCGGGTTGGGAGGAACGGTGACGACAGAGCACCTTAAGGGAGGAGAGGGCCATGGTTAAGGGCGAAGAGGTTAAGGACGCCGTAGGGTCCTGCCGGGAGCTGCAGGGGCATGCGAGACACGGCCTGGCCCCTCCTGGCAGGCGCTGCCAGCAAGGACAGAAGTCATAGAACCTTAAAAGAAAGATCCACGGCTTGGGTGGACAAGGCAGCTCTCTGCCCTCACAGGACTCACGGTTGTTCTGGCAATATTAGTTCTGGGGTATATATTGTTTTTATGCTGACCTTTCCACTTAGGTGTCTAAGAGTCTTTCATAGGCTGAATTATCAATGGCGCGTTTTCATTGTTATTTTATTACTATTACTGCTGAGTGTATGCGAGGGATGAAAACAGTGCTTTGCGTGTAGTATGGGAAAGACAGAAGCAATTGCAGAAATTTGATACAATTTTAATTCAAGTTCAGCTGCACTGCGGGGCTTAAAACAGTTTGTCTCATTCTTTGAACAACTGACCTCCAGGAAAATAGATCAGGAGAAACCTAGACAAGGAAATTTATCTTTTTGCCTCTGTGGTGAATATGCTCCACATTTATCAATGGCCTTAGGCACTTTCTTTAATTGACTGATTCAAATGGTGTCCTAGGTATGCCTTATTCTGTTGGATTCAGGAAATGTTCTGCTTGTTTGTTGGATCAATTTATAGGACGCGTGTTGGGCTTTTGCAGTTCTTCAGAGACTTAATGGACTGTTGTGTTCATGTGTTTTTTGATTTCTCTTCAGGCAGACAAATTGTTGGAATCATTGAGGCAACACTTTGAAGGGACAAAAGAAGAAAGTGAAAATATGGTAACTGATAATAAATCAGCTGTTGCTTTTAAGAAATGTAAATCTTAACTCATAACCCATAGAGCAGGGCATGTGCTGAAGGGTGTTTTTGACCACGATGGGAACTGTCATAGAATTACCTTTTTCTTCTTAGTGCCCTTAGTTTAAAGTACTTATGTACTGATAGAAATAGATGTGCTAACGTTAGTTTTGAAGCACCTCTATGTCTGAGAGCTGATTTCCTTTCAGTTGCCAAAATCAACAATGTGTTTTTCAGCATGAGTACAAAACTATTCTCTGTGAACAATAACATTAAATTTCCACTGAACAAATCTTAATTCTTACTTTTTTGGCTCTAGATACTACTCAGTACCAAATGGAAAAATATTTTATTCATTTTGTATGTGTAAATGTAGATGACTAGATAGTAATTGGTAAGTGCTTTGCACCTACTACAATTGACTTCCACTATAACAAAAGCAATACAGTTGTGCTACTTCCTTTATTTGCCTCTTAGTGTATTGTTTTCTTAACTTTTTTAAAAATTTTCTGTAAGCTGAATTATTTTGTTGAGTGTGGCAATGTTTTTGAAGTTTTTGATTAAAAGTAATTTATCTACTTTGTCTAAAATATATCTCCCTTTAAGTGCATCCCTTAAAAATCTTCTTTAAGGGTTTGAGGAACTTGTGTAAACCTTGTCAGCTTTTTTAAAATTTTCATGAGCAAAAAAGGAGGCCTGTTTTTATTGGTGAAGAGTTTTCCACAAATATACAAATGTGGGAGTGTCATGACATCATGCAAGTTAGATTTCAAATATAAAATATTAGGCATTTATAATCTTATTAAAATGAAATATGATAAAACAATTATAGTAATTGTATTTAATGTCTCCAAACAATGATCTTCAATGCTTGGGGGAATGCAGATAGTGCCAGTTTCTTGATTACTGTGCTACTACATGGCATGGTACTGTTTATCCTCTGTGTAAAATGCCTTTTTCAGTAACAAAATTGAAACTTTCCCTGGAGTATTTAATTTATATTTGCGTCAGGTATCTTCCAGTTATAGTATTTTTCTGCTACAGGGTCCTGTAAAGAGTGCATCTGCTTCCATTAAATCGGATGAACTGAGCAATCAGGAGGAAATTATGTCTGATTCAGTGTGTTTTATTACAAAAAGAGGTGGTAAAAATAAGAAAATAACCAGGAAAAAGAGGAACTCCCATGAGGAAAGTAATGCCATTGGAGAAAACCCAGTGCTTTCTGATGAGAAACAGGTGATTTATTTTTTTTTCATTGCGTGCTTTTGTGTGCTGACTGTCCTCCCTTCCTCTGACCATAATTTAAGCACACTTGATTTATTTTCAATCACCATTTATAGATGGTATAAATTTATGTTTGTGTGTGAATAGACACATATCAAAATTCATATGCAAGCATTCTGGTACTGGTCTTTTGTATTTTGTACTACTGACTTTTGTCTATTTATGGCCTGTCCCACAATAAACAGACACTACTTGCTAGTCATTGCTTCAAGAAAATAAATTCCTCTAAGAAATATTAAATTCCAAACACTTTATCTGAGTGTAAGACTGCTTTCACCAGTTCATTGTAGTATTCTGAATCTTAGGCTAGTTTGAGAATTTATGTAAAACAAGGTTGTTCTCACTTTTTTGATACAGAAAAATTTATCAGAAGTTGCACAATTGCCTAAACCTCATAATTTATTTTTTTTTATTGTGAGGGTTCTTCATTCCTTTATGTGCCTGAGGGAGAGAAAGTTTCAAGGTGAGATAGAGGTAGAATTTATTTTTTTCTTGAGTTACAAAGAGTATGTAAGCTAAGAACTGACTAAAAGACTTTTACTGATGCAGAGAGGGGAAATGAGAAAATGAGGAGTATTAGTCTTTTAGTGCTAGACAATTGTACAGTACACAAAAATACAACAGTAAAAAGTAATATCCCCAGTGAACTTATTCTTACTTGCAAATAATAAACTTTTATCAATAAAGGCAATTTTATACTAAAATGGGAGAGCTATGCAGGTAAAAGCTTTCTAATATATCAAAGTTTGTGAAGTAAACAGGGTAAGTATTTATATTCACAGCTTGGACTTCAGAAAATTTCTTGGTCAATCTCCCAATCAAAGCAGACTCAGCTATGAGGTTAGAGCACAGTGCTTTAGGCTTTATCCAATCTGATATTGAAAACCCTTGAGGATGAAGGCTGTGCACCTCTCTGGGCAATCTGTTCCATTGACTCACTGTTCTCAGAACAACAGCCTTTCTTTATATCCAGTTGGAACAAACTGGTAAAACAAAGTGTATTTCAATTGCAGGTGCATTCTGAAATGAAAGAAAATGGAGTGCCTCAGGGTGAGCACAAAAAGAGACAGAAGGTATTACAAAACAAAAACCAAATAACTGAAGAGAGAGATATTGAGAATACAGAGATGGGTACTGGACAGAAAAAACAAGCAGAAAGGACTTCTACTAAAGGTAAGGGAGAACAGTGTAAGCAGAAAATTGGATAAAAGTAACTTAAATTTATGTTACTTAGAATAACCAAAGTATAATTTTATTGTGTCTTCAAAGATTTTTGTGGCATGTCTGTTGATAACTTCCTTGTTTTGGGGATACCAGAAGAAAATTGGTCTGGTTTGAGTTTGTGTTACTCGTTTAACATATTTTAACACAAAAATCCACAAATCCTGCAGTGTAGGACTGGCTTTTGCTGGCTTTGACTTCAGAACTCTTGTTTTTAGTGGAGGAGTTCTCAGAGATGTGAGTGTATTTGAGTTTTACACTTCCAAAAGGTTCAGTGCCTTTTGGAATGCCCTTGAGCTGATATTCCAGCTGATTTTATTTCTCAAAACCTAAACCCACTTTGAGGAGGTAAAGTGTGTTTTGAAACAAACATTGGAACAATATTTAAAAACACTATGATTACTTTAAATCATCTTCCAGGAGTCCTGATGATTTTGTCTAATCTTACTGTAGCAGGTAATGCTCATCCTGCAGGAGGGAAGATCCCTGTACGTGTAGGCCATGCATCTAGGTCTGCAAGAACAGGAATGACAGCTACCACACCAAGTAAGATAACCTACCATCTTTAGAAAGAGATGTGCTTTCTCTGTGTAAAGGGAGGCTTAGCTTAATTTCTTGCAACTCAGATTTCTATTCCTGCTCAAATAAAAGAATACCCTCTCTTTAAAAGCAAGCAAACAAAAAAATAAATTCCCAAATGTTACATTTCAAGGTACATATTCCAGCTTGTAAATTCATAGTAGTAAATGACTGGTATGTATGTTAAAAAGCTGGTTTATTGAACATTTTGGTGATTTTACAATACAATACTTGCATTAATGATTTTCAAAGACCAGGAATACATACATGCTATTACTCCTACTTGTTTAGTTTTCACTTTATAAATATTATGGTTGTGCTGTGCTACTGTACATTAGCTCATGTTCATCACTTCTTAAAATGCATTAAACTGTCTCAAATGTAGAAGTATTTATTGTTTTCTTTAACTACAGATTTTGGGGGTTGGGTTAGATGATCTTTAAAGGCCCCTTCCAAATAAAATAATGAATAAATAAATTCTTTTGGTCCTGTTTGGTCAGATGTGTCTACAGCCTTGAATTAGATTGACTTCTTCAAAGCCATAACAATAGGTGTCACAAAATCCTCCTATTAAGTACTAAACATCCTTATAACTATATATGTGATCTGTGAATCTTCTTATTTTTGGAACTTAGACTTTAAGAAGTTGCATGAGGCTCAGTTCAAGAAAATGGAATCTATTGCTGACTACATTGAGAGGAAAAAAAAACTGAATGAGAATTGTAGCACAGTCAAGGTAAGAGATAACACAGGAAGATATCCATTGCTGGCACATTTATTTCCAGGGCCTTTCTGTAAAAGTCCTACCAAGGTCTCTTTAAATCAGTAAGTAGCTGGTCATGTGAACATGCAGTGGAATCTTACAACAAATTAAATTTAACTGTAGTTCTACATAACTAGTTATATATATACATATATATATATATATACATATATATATACAAGATTTTACATGTTAACAGTGTACAGCTGTAGAAACCAACAACTAACTTGTTGATTTTGAGTAAAAATAATTGTCACAATTACTTTTGTGAAAGATCTTCTGGAACTTTTGTTTACAACTGTTTGAATTGCTTCAAAATTTAACCAACAGGCTAGGTTATTTTTCAAACAGCAGGAATTAAATATTAAGTTTCTCTTTTGTGCCTGAACTATCATCCCATGGCTGCATATGATTCTCCTTAAAAATACATGCAATATGTGTTGTTCTCAGTTCTTGTATTTCACCCTCACATGGGTGAAAGCTGCTAACAGGGCCTCTCACAAAGTGCAGTAGAGCTCAAAAAAGTGACAGTAATGTATCAATGAATGAATATGTCAATGGCCATGGAATTGTTCAGGTCAGTTACTCTAGCACTGCCATATCAAACAGTAACAATGAATGAAACTCCTGAACATTACATTTGTTTTTTTTTTTTTAATGACATATTGTAGCAATGTACACTTCAGACAAACTACTATTGGCAGGTGCTAACCAGAAAATCAAATCCCTTGAGATCATCAGAAAAAGACACTCCACATTCCAAGGTATATGTTGTCAGGTCAATTTAAAAATAATAAAAATACTTACATTTAAAATATACTTCTAAAGAGGGGGAAAAAAAGGGGAGAAAACTGAATAGGCCATATGCTTCTGATTCACTGTGTATTTTCCCTTCTTGGCTGCTTTGTAGACTAATGTTCAGCAGTCTGGTAACTCAGAATTTGCTTTTCCCTAGAAACAAGCCAGTGGCAAAAGATTTTTATTCAGCCCAAATCCAGAGAGAGGCAAATTCTCCAACACCTGCACTCCTAGTAACTTCCGGCGCTCACCACGCAATTCTCTGAATGCTGCTAATCGGAGTATTTTATCCCAGAAATCTTCATTCCATCCTTCTGTACTTTCAACATCCAAAATGAATGTCAGGTAAAAAGAACAAACCAAAGCTACCAGCAAGCCATTTGACAAGATGCACATGAAATAATCAATACTGACTGTGATTTTACTACATTATTTCTCTTCCAAACATGAACTGTGCAAGACTAATTCTGATTACTAACTTTCAGCCTGGCTTTGTGAGTGGTTTAAGCCTCACTCTGCTATTAGTGTCTTCATTCTTCATTTTTATGTCTGTTAGAAGAATCTCAAATCCTGGCTTTCATTTTGCTAAAGTCAAATGATGCAAAATCGAGCAAGTTATTTTTCTTCTTTTACTGTGTTAGGTTTTCTATTTTACCAGGCAACCTAATAGTTTATCTGAATTAATTTATCTGTAAATTTTTAAAATCAGAGCTTTCCTCAGTATTCCAGGTGAGTCTTGCAATGGTTTTTCGCTACTTTCTTCATTTTGTCCTCTACTTCCCCTCCCCTTCGGTGTCACAGCAGGGGTGCTCTTGTGATTGACTACCATGGGCAGATCGTTCCTAGCAGATGGGAACGAAGCTGACACCAGAAGTCATGAGGAATTGCTAAATGAATGAACTCATACTCAGTGCTATTATACCTCATCTAATTTCCTTTTAGAACACCATCTGTATGTCATCATTCCTCCACAGCAATCCAATTCTCTATTAGTGTTAATACTTCATGAACTTCTGTTATCAGTACGTTTTATACACTTCTTAATAATTTTCCTGGAGTATTGATCAAGAAATGTTTTAAAAGAAAGAATTGAAAGGACAGTCCTTATGATATCCTATTGATAAATGTCCTTTTGCCTGGATTTCTAGTGAGAACCTTTATTTCTACTATTTCTTTGTCGATTTCTGACTACTATACTAATTTTGACTTTAATCAGTTTCCTAAACTTTCCACAATTACTGAAGTTCTGATTAGACATTCTCCCTTTGCTAACAATACACAGTTGTTTGCTGGCCTTTGTTGTGTTACTTTGTCTGATGACCTTCACTTTTCAACTTTTGCATGCTAAGATCATGCTGCTGGGCCTTGTTTTTGTCCCTGACAAAACAGGATTTTGTGGGATTGTTGTTTTCAAGTCAGATAATGCAACTTTTCATATTGGTGTCTGATAATCTATAATTATGTGACTTTGGAATGCAAGTCTTCTGCTGTTCAAAGGTCAAAATCAAGTTTAAAAACTTAGTGGCTTTGTTTTTACATTAAACATCCTCTTTGATTTCAACCGATAACCAATGTAAAAAATACACTGCCTCTAGTGTCCACTTGATGTCTTCACTGCAGCCCTAACTGATTCCTAGCAATATGTGAACCAAAACATTACTTTCAGAATTTGCTTTTGAAATTCAATTCATCCAAAGTTGCACTGTGGTGGACCTTGCAAGCTGTACTTCATCATAAATTTGCTTGTCCAAAAAAAGAGCTTTCTTCAACATTTACTCTGTGTCTTTGTAATTCTTGCAAGCTTATAGCTTATTCTCAGTACCTTCTTTCAAGATTTTGAATTTTATGCATGTACACATATATAAGTGATCATAGGTATTCACTAAAAGTGTCTGTATAGACATATACATACAGAATGTGTGTGTCTTGCTATGCAGGTAATTTGTGTGTTTTGAAATTTTCAGCTTTTTCCTCTTGTAGGTCTTTGAGGCCTAGCATTCTGCTAGTTGTCTTCCAGTTCTTCTTAATTTGAATTTTAAAACTAATGAAATATGCAATGCTTTACTGCAGAATCCAGATCTAAAGTAAATTATATCTGTCAGTGAATAAATCTACTAGCTTATTGCACCCAAATATATTTGCTTTTCAAAATAACAAGGAAGTCAGTTATTTGGAGTTTCTAATATTACTTACTGCTATTAACACTGGCTGGAAACTTGGTGTTATACCAGCAAGGTATTTTAGTACAGTTTTTGTATGAGCTGTGAACATCTTTCACACAGTAAATCTTTCTACCTGTAATAAAAATAGAATGCAGAACCTTCTATATTCCAGCACACTGCTTACGTTCCTTGTAGGTGACTAAATTTGTCTTCATATTTCTAAAACCTTTCAGGTTCTCAGAAGCCACAAAAGATAATGAGCACAAACGCTCTCTTACCAAGACTCCTTCTCGAATGTCTCCATACATGGAGGAGATCTGCACACCTGACACTCAGAGGAGCTGCAAACTAAAAACTCAGAAGAACAGCAAGGGAAATAATGATCTGACTGCATCAAAGGGTAAAGTGGATGGTGAATATTTGGCTCTTTCAGATCAAGACTTTTGTCTTACTGAATTACCATACAAGCTTTTAACAACTGAATGTCATGTAGACCCAGGTTTTAATTTAATTCTCTAATTTATGACTGGTTCTTCAGAAACTTCAGTAGTTTCTTTGTTTCCTCTGTTTTCCAGTGATTTGACTAAAATGTTTAGGTGCCATGACTTAAATATATGGTGCCTAGCTACCTACAGAAAAGAGAAAATAAAATCTTCCAGACTTTTAGGGACTACATAGCAAAAGATTCATATAGCAGATACAGGGATACCCCATCTGCACAGAGAGGAATTCCTGACACCTTCTCAGAGATCTCATTCTCCTCATGGGGTTGGCATGCATCAGGCTTCTAGCTGTGCTTTAGGACAACCTGTTGTCAGCCTCAGCACTCTGATCAACTCAGGAACAAAAATTAAGAAAAATCAGTCTTCTGATTACTAAGAATCTCTGCAGCAGCACAGTTCTACTATCCAGCCATTGACACCCATAGCATCACAGGGATATTGGCATAGGTCAAGAATCGAGAGCTTCCTGGTTTTTACTGTATAATAATACTGATGTTTTTAAGGGGCAAGCAAAGTCCCATGCTGATCTAAAGCTGGCCTGTTCCAAAAGAATTGCCTCTTTGTTTAACATGAAAAATCACTTGGTTCCAAATAGGCATAGAAGGAACATATAATTTGCCTTGAAGGACTAGAAAAACAAATGGAGCTTGTGTTCTTCCACAGTAGAATCATAGCTGAAGGGCCAGCACTCCACAACTCTTGCCCTCCCTATTTCAAGTAAACTGTGTTTGTGCAATTCTGTCTTTATAGGTAGCAGCAGGGGCCCTTAATGGCTCTTTGGTCTTGATAATTGTAGTGTAGTCTTCACAGGTACTTTCCTACTTTCTGTGTATATTGATGCTCTTGCTAGTCTGTGTTATCTTGATGCCTTTTGTAGTTCTTACCCCCTTCAAGTTTGGAGCTCAATCTGTGGAACCCTCAAGTGGAAAGAAGACATTTGATCTCAAAGCAAGTCTTTCTCGGCCGCTTCGGTATCAGCCACACAAAGGTACCGTCACCTTTGTGACCCTGTGCAGTCTGTGTTGGTCACACCCCTTACACTCAGCTGCTCCTGCAGGGGTGCATTGATACAAACAGCGAGAGCAAAGTTTACAGTCTCCTTTTCTGTCCCTTTTCCTTTCTCTCTGGGTTCCTACACAGTCTGATGTTAAATTTCTTCTTAATATATGCTTTAAGAGCCTTCCCACTGAAGATTTTATGACCAAAAGCCCATAAATAGAAGAATAAATATACTTGTATTCCACTGAATAGCTGTACGTACAGGAAATATGAAATATTCCATACACAACCAGGTGGGTTTTTTTAATGTCATGTGAGAAGCTGAACTTGGCATGGTGAGCGTTACTTCTAAGTACAGTCACCTGTTACTACTTACAGAAGAACTACTTGTAGGGAATGGGCTGGTGAAACTGATAATGCAGCTTAAAGAGGCACTTCATCTTCAAGACATCCAGCAAGAAACAGGCTAGCTAGGATAAATTCATGATAAGAAGTTAAGCACACAATTACTAAACTATTAAACTAGTCTCTCTTTTTGCCCCTAAATTATAGGACGACTAAAACCGTGGGGAGAACCTAAAGAAAATGCTGTTCTCAGTAGATCTGGTGGCAGCAATATCTGTTCACATAAGAAAAATTACAAACAGCCACATCTCCAGACAAGGTAAGTACACCACTCTTTGGAGTGTTTCTAACACTTTCTAGATAGTGTTACTTAAAATATGATTCATTCTTCTTCTTAGGACTTAAATGTAGTTTGGGAAACAACAGTTTTGTATTAAAGTCATTGTTCCTTCCAATGACTGTTCAATTTCAGGAAGGCCAACAAAAGGCTGTTCTGAATTTGTTGGACTTTTTTCCATGAACAGTATCAGTTCCAGAACTTTGAGATTTACCTTTATCTTGGAAGAAGCTGTCAATGTTGACATGCTGTTACCTGAAGTATTAGACCTGCATCTCTGAGCAGAAGTATTTGCCTGAATGTTTGGGTTCAGTCCATAACGGTACTATTATCTCTGCCCATGGCAAAGGCAGGGCACTGATTAATCTTGTGTTGTGGTCAGCTTCAGATTCCTTTGGTTGCTTGTGTCTCTACCTTTAGTAAACATGGTCTCTTTTTTTTCCCCTCCAGGGAAGAAAGGCGTGAGACACTTGAGCAAGACAGAAAAAAGAAAAAGGCTCATACTCTTGGAAAACGTAGAGGCGTATCTGTGTCTTAGGATGAATAAGGAGTATCTAAGACATCACTGTAAATACTGTTCTTCTCATGTAAAGGCTTGTGCTATCCGTGTATGGTTCAGGTTGCTTTTAGCTAGTGGAATCTAGAGAACAGCAATTAATGAGACCTTGTAATGTGCACTGAGCATAATGTTTCTGTGATTAATTTCTCCACTGAGATGAGAATTCTAAACTTTCAAGGGCTTAGAACTCTCTTGTTGCTTCATGTTTTCATTTAACTGATTTACTTCACTTAAAGATGTTAAACAAGAAAATATGAGTGGAAAAAAGATGCTCAAGAAGCCTCCTTGCAACTTAGGATAGACTTGTGCATCGGAATGCACTTGTTGCATGCTAGAATGCAGGCTTTGGATAGCAAGCTTCAAAATGTTAGTATTCAAAATGACCAGAGTTGGAAGTACCTGTTTGCCATGTTCTCTAGAACAATCCTTAAATTCTCTAAGTTACAGCAATTATTCAGCATTTCTAATTGCATCCTTTGAAATTCTGTTTCATAAGAGAAGAAAAAATATGGAAGCTCTCTGGAAAACTAATGCATAACATAATTGTAAACTAACTTTTTTTAAAAAGTCACAACTGAGTTTACAAATTGCCATCTGAATGCTTTGAGCAGTTTTTTGTTCCTTTCTGTGGTTAATAAAACTCTCTTGCTTTTCATCTCTAAGATGCTTAAAAGAGGTTATAAGTGTTGAGGCACATTCAATACCTTGGTTTTAAAAGCAGTTGTTATTCTTACATTAAAAAAATACATTAGAAAAGTTGTCTGGATTGGATAGGGATAGAACTAGAAAGGTAATTTAGCAGTTGTTTTCAGCTGTTGAGCAAGTAAATGTTTCACTGAATTTAGTATCCCATCAAATAGATGTTGCAGTGTCAAGAAAAAGCAATTTTTAAAATAAATGTAATGGGGAAAATAAATATTTTCGTATATGTTCTGTTTCTCACTGGCTTTATCATTTAGTATAGTACCTGTACCTGCTTCCTCACTGTAGCACTCTCTTTGTTCACACTTGTATTTACTGCTATGTTTCCCTGTGCCAAGTTTTCCTTACCAACTCACCTGCCTCCCACTCTGTGAAAGATGTTTGCTCTGGTAGCTTTAGAAACAATAACCTTCATATCCTTCTACAATTAAGCTGTTGAATTCTGTGCAAAAGGAAAATGAAAGTCCAAGATTCTGTTTCAGCTTGCTTCATTGTTGTCTTTCCATGTAAAATACAGGAACACTTAATATTTCTAAAGATATTTAAACAAGGTCACTGTGGAGGAGGTCAGTGCTTTAAGTACTTAAATTTGTGACAGCTGAAACATACACTATACAAAGCAAGTGCTGAGTGGTTATCTTGAATTACTAAAAACTGGACTACTCTGAAAAGGGGAGGTATTAAGGTTCTGTGACATCAGTTGAGGCTGTGAATTCTTCCAGCACAGCTGAGTTAGGCTAACTGCACACAGCAAAACTGGGATCTGTTCTGCCCTGTAAAGGTGCTTGGCCAAGCTGTGCCTCCTTAGGGAGCAGACAGAGCTGGGGCTTTCCTCCCACCCCTCCTTTGGAGCATTACTTCTTTCCAACAACCTTGGCTCTGTAACATTGTAGGATTATCTTCAACAGCTCTAAAGGAAAAAAGTCAAGCCTGCTGCATAGCGCTCTTGTTTCCATTTTGGCAGCGGCAGCTTTTTCTTTTTTTAGCTTTCGAGAGGAGCCAAAGCTAAAGGTTGAAACACTTCTGCCTTTTGCACTCCTGCTGCTGCTCTTTGTAAGCTGGAGTAGCTGAGTCACACCAGTCCTCAGAGTATTAATTCTCATACCTTTTCCAGTTTCAAACTAGCAGATGCAAGTGTTTTGCAACTGTCAACAAATTATGTAATGTAGAAAATGAAAGTGTTGGACAAAAAAAGAACTCATGAAATGCTTTTATTAACAAAAAGCTAAAACATAGCCAGGGAAGAGTTACTATGCAAGAACATCACAACTGCTCTCAGGCTCCATTGCAATTCATCTCTGTACAGTCTCTCCAGGATTCTGTATTTGGAAGTTTAATGATGCCACTGGTGTCACACTTCATGCACTTATCTCTTTTATGCTTACATAGGCTCTTCAAGTTGTTAAAAGCCACACATTAAGAAGTATTTTATAAAAATTAAATATCTGAAGAATTTTCCAAATGAGACCAGCCCAACTTACACTGGAGTGTTCTTGTCATATGTTTCATAGGCAAACTCTTCTCTATGAGCTCTGTCATTTAGCAGACCAATAAAATCAATCTCCAGCTGGAATGGACCATCTACTTTATCTCCAATGGTGAATCCAAGGGTTCTAACCTAATTTAAAGACACAGAGGGTAGAACAGTACTTATAACATTACAATCAAACTCGGTTAGATCTCCCACTTCCGTATTTTACACATTTTACCATTCACAGACATCTTCTTTAAACTGGTATTTGTTCAAAATGCAGTAGCATTTTTTAAGGCTTGAACACTTCACTACTCCATTTTTCAATACAGTGCTCAGTGGGAAATGATTCCACATTTGCCTTTCTACCACTGTGTTAATAAACCTTTGATTTAAAATGGCCTGAGCCTAAAGCAACAGTTACTTTTATCCTTCATTAATTGTGTACAGCCTCTTTCACCACACTTGGGTTTCTAAATACATTTTCATAAACTCACATCTTATTAAATACATCTTTGTTTTTCTTATTCATGAAAGAATTAAGGATGGACAGGATCATTCTAGATAAAGTGATGCACCATCTACTTTGTGAAAACCAAACCAGACATTTTAGAACTTAATTTTAAGCTGGCATGAAACTTAATTACTGAGTTTAATAGTAAGAAAAGGTTCTTAGCCACTGGAATTTCAATTAGAATAATGTTCTTAATATAAGAATGCATAGCATGCTTTCTATTAGCCTGTGGCTTGTCTGAATGCTGCCTCAGCTCTCACATGTTAAAAAACACCTCCACTGTTAACAGCTCAGTTGAGTCACAAGTGCAGACCACCTCATGAACTGCCCAAAGCCCGGCTGAAAGTGCAGGTCTGAGCAGTGCCAATGATTTTAAGGACTGCTGTAAGTTTGGAAAAATAATGCCCAGGATGTGTCAGATGAATAAATGTGGACTGAGTCTAAACATATATTGCAAATATATGCTAAATAAATAACAGAACAAAGCTGGGTAAATGCACTGGCACTCCTCTGGATCATTGTAATGCTTTCAATGCTATTCCTTCCTCAGCAGCAAGCTCTATAAGTAGACCCTTGGTTTTCAGAGCCCAGAGAGTTTTTAAAACTCCTTTCCTCCAAATCACATTGTTAGAGATAACCTACGGGAGTCACCTAAACTCTTGTCTCTGAAGAATCTAGTCCTTTGCAAGCCCTAGATAAATTGACTGTTTCCTGCCTTTTTTATTCCTATTTAACCATTATTTTCTGCCTTTCCAGGTTCCTAAAAAAACATACGTTAGTACCACGAGGGCCATTCATTTAAGAGTTGGACTTGATGGTCCTTGTGGGTCCCTTCCAACTCCAATTATTCTGTGTGTGACCAAGACATTTTATTAAGATTTCTTAAACTACCTTCGCGCTGCTTCTCTTGATTTTTGAGTTTCTTTAAAATATGTTTGTAAAATTACACTGCAAGTGCATAGTTTTTCCTGTCAAATGCTACACATAAAATAACCATCAGCAAAACTTCAGTGGAGGATGCTTAGATCAAGTAACTGATTTGTCCCTTTAACTCCTAGTAAATATTTTTAAATACCCCATATACAACTTTATGTTTTCATTTACCATACATGAGAATAAGTAACTTATAACATGAAGAGGCCCTTGAATTTCAAATTCACAAACATTACAGAATTTGTAAGTTATCTATATCAGTAAATTCTGATTTTCTTACAGAGCAGTTACGTGCTTCTTATACTGCCTTTTCAAATAAAGCCTACAGAAAACTTGCCTTGTCTAACCAGACAGGATGCTGGTTATCCTGGACTCTTCCGCGACTGGAGAAAAAGAATTTGGAGAATGGAATCTGACATAAAACAAAACAACATCAGACTTTAGTGTCACTAGTATATAAAATAGAAACTTAGGGAAAAGAAAATAACATGTTAGTAAAGTAACACTCTGCTATATTTGGTATTAGCATTGGTTGGGTACATAAAACTGACACAAAGAAATGGGCCACATTAACCCTTTCAACTGGCCATTCACAGCCAGTTCCAGGTCCACCCTGTCCCGTGGCAGCCATAGCCATCCCACAGGAGCATTACCCTGTCAGGACACAATGGAAGGCTGCAGCACAGAAGGTGGCTGTTTACATTGAGAATATCTCCTTCCAATAACATGAAAACATAACCCAGAAATTCCTGCAAAGTCCAGCATGGATACATACTGACAGCTCATCTGTACCCAGGCTGTGGATTTCACAGTGCAAACTTCATACTCAGACACCAGTACCTCTAGCAAAGCATTTCAGGATAATGTGAAAATTTCTTTGAAAGTAGTGGGAGCAAGAAAGGAGGGCTGGCTGGTGGCTGGTGTGGGTGAGATGAAAACATTCAAGCCAGCAACGACACTCCAACTTTAAAGCTCCTGGCTCCTCATCCGTGAAACAGCAGGCTGTTCCCACGTGATTGGACAATGGTATCATGGAGCACTCAACACCAGTGCATAAGGATGTGCAAACTTCCCTGTTGTTGTCATCAGACAACTACAAAAGGTCCCAAAGTTGCACCAGAAAAGAGCTGCAACTTGCACATCTTAAAAATATTATTTTGTGTCAGAGTCAAGGGTGACAAATGACAAATCCCCAACTCTTGAGTCTGTCTGACTCCAGAGTGTTGCACTACATTAGGAAGGGTGAAGCAGTACAACATGAGAGTCTCTTCTGGGTTGCACAGGAGAGCAAGTTTTATTATTCCTGATCTTCTTTTACAGACAGGTCCAAGAAGGTCCAAAAGGTAAAACTCTCATTGGTCATTAAACCAACACATCACTATTATTGGACAATTGGGAACAACACCCCTTGACTGTTTCTTGCGAGTAAACAACAAGGATCCAAACAACACCTGCAAAGGTTGTTTTCCTTCTCCAAGGACTGCTTGGACTCCTTCTTATGATTTCTCAGGCCAGAGTGAGAACTCTGTAGTTTCACACAGACAGTGTGCTCTCTGCCTGCTTTCTCACATTCAGCATCCATACAGAGAGACTGTGAGTTAAGCAAATCTTGTTGCATGGAACAAATCCTACATCAGCCTACACCCATTTGTACTACAGATAAAATGGTTATTGCAGAGAATATTCCAGGCAACACCTGCTAAGTTTCAGTTGCTGTACCTATCCTATTACTCCAGTAAGAACCAAGAGTAGGCATTCAGAGGAACATATGGTGGATCAACTCTTTAACACAATTGACACAGTGTGCCCTCCCGTAGCGCACTTTTGGGAACTCCCAAAGGCACATGTCTATTGTATAATGAAAATGTTGACTAGACAGCAATAGAAACAAACTGGGAAGGTTGAAAGAATTCCCCTTCCCATGTTTTGGTCAGGACCTCAAGACAGTCTCATTAGTTTGAAAAATTCATTAGCTCACCTTTATTTCCTCCCAGTACGGGCCTCCTCGGGTGAACATGAAGTAGCTGTAGAGGTCATCCTTTTGATGAGAGAAGTAAGGGTCTGTATAAATGTTTACCATCCAAGGTCTGCCATCACCACGGATACGTAAATACAGACTGTTGAAATTTGACCAGTCATAATACTTCTTCCTGTTAAAAGATCCCTACAAATTATTGATAAATAGAATTATTCCTTCTTAATAGAGGTACACTTCCGTTTTGAGGAACAGAGCATTGTTGCTTTGAGCATTGCCCTTGTTACTGTATCAGTATCATGCCCTTGTTACCATAACACAGTGAACACACTG